GTCGCCTCTCGCGATAAATATGATTCGACTCTGCTCCGTTTTTTTTATTTCTATTTGGTTTTCTCCTTTCGTCTCTCTCTCTCTCGAGAGAGAGGGAATTATTTTATCATTACCTTCCTTGTCATTTTTATTATTAGTCGATTCGTCGATTTTTTGATAACTCGAAAATTGAAATTGTGAACTCTGGTATCTTGGTATCATTCAGAGATAAAAGAATTCTGTTCGAACTTTGAATTGATTTCGTCCAAGAAATGTATCGAGCTTAGAAACATTCTTAAACTGTACAACAATTACTTTAGAATATTTAATTAAATATACAGCGTCAGTATTTGCTACCAATATTGAGAACATTTTCAATATCGATAAGCAAATTATCCTCGGAGAGATTTCTATTCCTATATTTATACAACTTCTATTCCGTCTGAAACATTTATTTATTTTACCTTCATTTCACCAGGAGCATTCTTCGAGGAAGTTTCTACGATCCGTGTGTTTCAAAAAAAAGAACCTACTAGAAAAGTTGTTCAACCCTCAGATCAGATCGGTGACCGACGCGATAACACATATTCCATTTTATTTTTCCATTTCTCTGAAAGGAATCATTATTATTATTATTTTTTTCCTCTCTTTTTTTTTCCTCCATTTAAATGCAAAGAATTAGTTAGCGACGTGTATATTAAATGCCCTGTATATTGGACATGGATATTTAATACCTTTTTTTTTTTTCATTAATTGGAGATTTTTCTGCGTGGAAATGGAAACGGTATTTATTCGAGTGGAATTATTTTAAATTGAAAACGATGAATATTAAATTGTTTTGATTGAGCGGCGATAGAGATAGATAGATAGATAGATAGAGAGAGAGAGAGAGAGAAAGAGAGGGAGAAAATACCGCGAGTATTATTTTTGAATTAGGGATCGGTTCATTTTTAAAATTGGATCATTTATTACTTACTCGCAATTATTTCAAATGAAGAAACTTTAAAACTTTCGAAACGTTAAATTATTTTATCACGTGTTTATTAACAAAGAACATTGAATTATTACATACGCGCGTGTCTTCGAACTACGAATGACAGCTAGACCACGGGTTAAGTTTCTTTTATTTACGATCAGTTTAAAGATGCAAACAAAAGATGCACGTGAAATATTCACCAACAAAGTTTCTCCGAAACTTATCCAAATAAAATGCACGCGTGAATTTTTAACGAAAGCCGTGCATTCGCGCGGACATCCGGCCGTCTATGAATAATAATGTATCGTGAAATTTCGCTCGCGAAAGAAAAAGAAAACGAAAAGAAAAGAAAAGGAAGGAGAAATTCGGCGGATTTTATTAATTGAGACGTGGAAACTTGGACGAGGGTGCAGACACCACACCCAGTCTATGTTTATAGGGGGTGGCCTCGCGAAATTGACGGTGTCGTAAACGGCGACAACGTGGAACAACGAGAGTTCCGAGCCGGAATGGGACGAAGAGGATTGGGAGAACTGGGAAGTTCTTGGGGGAGGGGGGGGGGG